TCCCTACACTTTAAATGAATGTTTCCCTCAAAATACCCATGCTTTGAGACAGATGTGCTTGTGTTAATATTGACAGTTCATAAACAACACTTCCTGTTCCTTTAAGCTTATCACTATGAGAAACAATGAAATGAGGCCCAAGCCATCACAAAGCCTAGACACTAGATTTATCATGTTTGCCACGTATTATAGAAATTTAATTTAACTCATTTTCATTTTTTCCACCTTTGTCTGCCTTGTCCACAGGCTCTACATTGATGGTCCCTTTGGAAGTCCATTTGAAGACTCGCTGAACTATGAGGTTAGCCTCTGCGTGGCTGGAGGCATTGGAGTAACTCCTTTTGCATCAATACTCAACACTCTGCTGTATGTCATTTTGATCCATTATGTTAGTCCAAGTAGAGAACTGTCAATATTTCAGACAGCTGTCTTTTAGTAAGAAGTAATTCCTTCCAGAATTCTTTTACTTATTGTTCAAGGAACTCCATTTACTGGCTGATACGGGGAATAACTGAGTGATTCTCAATACGTGGTCTATGGCTTTCAGCGTGTTCTCTTGTAGAACGTCAGTATCACAATTATGCATTCCTCTGTCCTTTTCCTCTGTTAAAGTCATTCCGCCAGCCTCTGTTTCTTTACTTTCTCATCAGGGGCAAGTGGCATAACTAATGCATTTAGTCAACAAATATTTTTGAGCACCTATGTGTCGATTGATCTTATAGTTTCTGGTAATACAGCAATGACTGAAGAGAGTCTCTGCCCTTAAAAAGTTTACATTCAAATGGGGCAGGAAGAAAATAAAGCAGTGAAAAATTCATAAATAACATTATTTCAGAAAATATTAGAACTATGATGAAGAGAATAGAGATTAATGGGATATAGAAATAAAGGGCCCGGGTTATTTTAGAAGTATGGTCAGGGAAAGCCTTTCTGAGGAGATGAAAAATGAGCACATCATTCCTTGGTCTGTTACTCAGCAAATTTATATCAGACTGAAGAATAAAAGTTTCAAAGGTAAGATTGCTTAAGCAGGATATATTTATGCAGTTATTTTAGTTCTAGGATTATAAGCAAAAATTAATGGACGGTAATTGTCATGAAACCCACAAACAAAATCTATTCTGTTCACTTTTCAAGAAAACACAATTTGCATTAAAAGTTTGTTTTATAAAGTACTGAAAAAGAAATAATAAGTTGAAGTGATGTGTTTGAATGATACTTTATTTCAATTTTAAATACTTGATATAAATTTGGGACTTTTTGGAGGTTCTTCGAAAAATAACTATATTCCAAACCAGAAATTGTTTCTGAAAACGTTTTGCAAGTTATTTGGACACCTAAAGTTTAAAAAAAGGAAGAATATTTTCTTAACCTCAAGCCTACTTCATAATTATAAGGAGGAATCCAGACTTGGAATTGTGAGTTGCTAGAATGAATTACGTAGTAGGTGGTTGCGAAATCTCTTTCTTTAACAATTATTAAGAAGGGGGTAAACAACTAACTTTTTGGAATGGTTTCGGCTCATTTTGCCTGGAAGCCAGGGCAAGATGACCATTGGAGCCCTGTTGAGTGATAGAATTCACTGAAAATAGAGAACTTTCTTTTCCTGAGATGCAGAGCTGATATTATTCTAATCCAGGAGTTTAGTTTATTGCCTTCAAATGGAAATGGGTGATATGCATATAATATCCACAAACATGAACACTTAAATTCATGGAGTATATCATATCTTTGAGTCAGTATATTGCATTTTAAATAAATTTGGGAGTTAAAGTAAGTGGTATGTCAGATGCTAGAATGTAAATGACTGTTTTTTCTATAGGTTGCTTACTAATGAGAAGCAAAATTTCAAGTATATAGGGATTCTTAATTTTTTTGCCATCATAATCACTATCATGTTATTTTAATTTTAAAGGGATGACTGGAAACCATACAGGCTTAGAAGACTGTATTTTATTTGGGTGTGCAGAGACATCCAATCCTTCCGTTGGTTTGCAGACTTACTATGTGTGTTGTATAACAAGGTAAAATTAGGTTTGTTTTTACTTTTGCAGCTTTCTAAATTTAAAATAAATTATTTTATTTCAAATTGTAAAAGTAATAAGTGCTCACTATAGAATAAACCAGAAAATATGCAGATAAGTAGTGAGGAGGAAAAAAAAATCCCTTAAACTTAAAAAAAAAAGAGGTGACATCTGTTAATACTTTGGTACACATCTTTTCAGATATTGGTATCTGTGAATTTGTGTGTGTATCTAGAACATGAGATGTATGCATATGGCTGGTGATGTATGCATATAGGATACATATGCATGCAAATGTGAATGCATATGAGATTGTGACAGAGGACAGATAGAGGAGAATATCAACAGGCAATTACTATTACACCTTTCATCCTTTGTTCTAGTAGCTCTTTTTTTTTAAATAAATTTGTTTATTTTATTTATTTATTTTTGGCTGCATTGGGTCTTTGTTGCTGCGCGCGGTCTTTCTCTAGTTGCAGGGAGCGGGGGCTACTCTTCTTTGCGGTGCGCGGGCTTCTGACTGCAGTGGCTTCTCTTGTTGCAGAGCATGGGCTCTAGGTGCACAGGCCCAGTAGTTGTGGCTCACGGGCTCTAGAGCACAGGCTCGGTAATTGTGGCTCAAGGGCTTAGTTGCTCCGCGGCATGTGGGATCTTCCCGGACCAGGGTTTGAACTCGTGTCCCCTGCATTGGCAGGTGGATTCCCAACCACTGCGCCACCTGGGAAGCCCCTCTAGTAGCTCTTATCTCTTATCTCCACCTTTGATATTCCAAGTTGGATCATCAGCAGACCTTTGGCACAGTATACGGAATTTCAAAAATCCCAAATTCTAAGTTTTATTCCTTACAGAGATGAAAAACAGGCATTTTCGTCTATCCTACATGTAACCTGTTACTTATCTATTAATGTATCTATCTTTATTTTTTAAGTTATTCAAGTAACACACATATGCATCTTTGCTACAGATTTTTCTAATAATCCACATGAAGCAAAATCCCCACCCAATCTTTGTAACCAGATGTAACTCACAAGCATTCTATACATTCTACCATACTATTTGTATTGTTCTGCACATTGCTTACTATAAACTTAGTACTCTCTAACGAGACACAAAAGGACAACTGTTGTGTGATTCCTCTTATATAAGGCACCTAGAATAGTCTAATTCCTAGAGACAAAAAGTAGAGTGGTGGTTGCCAGGTTTCCAGGAAGGACAAATGAGGAGTTACTCTTTTTTTTTTTTTTTTTTCCTTGCGTTATGCGGGCCTCTCACTGTTGTGGCCTCTCCCATTTGCGGAGCACAGGCTCCGGACGCGCAGGCTCAGTGGCCATGGCTCACGGGCCCAGCCGCTCCGCGGCATGTGGGATCTTCCCGAAACGGGGCACGAACCCGCGTCTCCTGCATCGGCAGGCGGACTCTCAAGCACTGCGCCACCAGGGAAGCCCGAGGAGTTACTCTTTAATGGACACAGAGTTTCAGATTGGGAAGATGAAGTTCTGAAAATGGATTGGTGGCGATGGTTGCACAACAATGTGAATGTATTTAATGCTAATCAACTGTATACTTAAAAAACAGTTAAAATGATCAGTCTTATGCTATGTATATCTTACCACAATAAAAAAAAAAGTGCAGATTTCTGGGGCTCACCAAGGGCCCGCTAAATCAGGAGAAAGAAAAAGGGGAGAGATGAGAAGCCATTGAATGGATTTGAGCATACTTATATGATTGTAGGTCATCTTGAGAGTGTGTGTGAATGTACCAAACCTCGGGGTACTGCAGTTTCTAGAGGGGCAGAAGATGAGTGATAAGTCAGTAAAGGAGATTGGTCAGAGTGGCCAGTGAGGTAGTCGGAAACCAGGAGGTGGTTCTGTCCTTGAGGAAAGGGAGAAAAATCTTTCAAGAAGAGCAACATCGTGGGTATTTTTTCTAGGTTAATGCCTGAAGCTGGACTTCCTGAGTTGGAGGCTCTGAGGACTTTGGGAATGAATTTAAATTTTTAATATATACTAAAAAAATGTCCCCCAAGGAGGCTAAAACCATTTACATTTCCACCAAAGAATATAAGAGAAATTTATTCCAAACATTATATTACCAATCTTTCAAATTTCTATCCATCTCTTAAACAGTGGCATCTCTAGTTTTCCCTGAATGCTAGTGAGACTGAACTCTCCCTGTACTTGTCAACCACATGTATTACTTCTCGGATTTCCTAATTCTACCTTTGCCTGTTTTTCTAGTTTAAAAAAATTGTTTTGAACTGATAGCCTATACTTTTTTAAATAAAAGGCTATAATTGGATCCAAGATGTGGAAAGGCACATTTGAATAATAGATGCTTTATAAGGCAAGTAGCAGGGCAGGAAAGGAATAAAGGAAAAAAGAAAAAAATATAAATGACTGGACATTTGAAGCAGTTCAATCTTAAGATTTCTTCTCAAACTTTTTGGTGGATATGCTTTACCCTTAGGATTCCATGGCGTAAATAATATAAAAGCTTAAAACTAGTGTAAATAATGTGGTGATGATTATCTCTACACACACCTCTGTATACCTGTTTCGATTTTTCACATCAAGAGGATGAACACTGGTCCTGCAATTGTGCCTCTGAGGAAGATGTTAAAAAGAAGTCTTCTTTTATTTTCTGTGTTTGCAACTGAGTTACCAAGTTCAGTGTGTTTGTGTGTGTGTGTGTTTCTTTAGTAGATACTATTGCTTGTTTTCAATGATGGATAAGTTAAAATGGAGACATTGAAATCATTAAATACATTATTTAAGTCTGCATACTTCTCTCTGGAGGCTGTGGGCACCAAACACGTTATTTTTTTTCTTTTTGTTTAAATTAATTTTTATTGGAGTATAGTTGATTTACAATGTTGTGTTAGTTTCTACTGCACAGCAAAATGAATCGGCTATACATATACATATATCCTCTCTTTTTTAGATTTCCTTCCCATTTAGGTCACCACAGTGCATTAAGTAGAGCTCCCTGTGCTATACAGTATGTTCTCATTAGTTAAGAGAAAAACAAATATCGTATATTAACGCATATATGTGGAATCTAGAAAAATGGTATAGATGATCTTACTTCCAAACAGCAGTTATTGATGCAGGACTTATTGGGGTGATCTCAGAGGAGCATCCTGGTAGACATTTAAGACAAAAATCAATGCAAGTCATGTGTTTTGTGAGGTGCTATCCATTACTGGCACCTGGAAATTCCTGTTTCCTCACAATTAAAATTCATAAACCCTGATTCAATTCCTGAAGGGCCTTAAAATGACTTTAGTGTTTGGGTATAACTTGAGGCAGCTGTGGTATGGAATTTAATGATTATATTTTAAAACTATTATGCTAAGAGAATCATCACTTATCACTTTAAAAGTAAAATGTGTTTTTATTGGGATTTTATAACTTAGAGTTGCCACCTGTCAGAAAATGTATAGTTTTAGATCTGGAAGAAACCTGTAGGATAATGTCATTCAACTCTATCATTGTCCTGATGAAGAAACTGAGGCCTTTATAAGTTGAGTAACTCCCTAGAAATCTCAAGGTTAGACAGTGATGGCAGTAGAAACAAGTCTCTAGCCACCTGCCAGGTGCCCTTACTATTATAAAGGATGCCAGAGGAGTGATGTAACCTCACTTAATTACTCCCTATTTGCAAAATGACTTCTTTTGCATTCCTGAACCTTCTATTTTGAGCCCCAAGATATATTCATTAAAAAATTATTACTTTCATACTCTGTAAAAACAGTACTTGAAATCAATTGATCCTTTTGCTGCAATAAGGTCCAGCAAAGCCATACCATCTCCAGCAAACCTGCTATGCCCACTGATGCTCAAGAAATAATTTGGCTGTTGAAGAAATGCTGGTCTCTTCTAAGCCTTTCCTCAGGTTCTACACATCAGATACTCATCTCTGTTCTCCAGAGCACATCATGGTTATTGTGTTCCTTGCTTCTCTTCTGCTTTTTGTTTTTTGGTTTTTTTTTTTTTACTTTTTGACTCCTTTTCCTTATCTTTCAGCATCTCCTTATTTCAGGGTGGTGAAAGGAGGCCTTTAGAAGAATAATATTTTTTTAAATGTAGATTTCAGGAGTCAGGATTCAGTCAGAACAAGGCAAGAGTCATTAGCAGATTCATTTTTGCCTTCTGGTAAAAGGAAGCCTATGGGGACAAAACCCTTTTATCCCCTTTGTTGAATTCATTTTTCTTCAGATATTTTCCTTTGTCAGTTTATTTTTCAAGATTTCAAAATGTTCGAGAGCTTTTCCAGACTATTTTATTTTGGCAGGTATATTTGCTGCCTTATACATTTTTATACAAGGGAAACCAGTGCTGAATAGGAAGAAGGTAGGAACTGGAACCAGGTTTTGTTTGTTTCGTTTTTTGTGATTCCTAGCATGCCTATTAAATATCACTTTTTACTTTTAAAAACTCATATTCTTTCTAAGTGAACTTTTTAGTAAAATTTAGAGGCTCTTAGGGAATAAAATAAGAAATAATTGGGGAGGATTTAGGGGAATATTAGTGTAATATTTAGCGTGTTTGATTTTGTATCTATGAAGATAACAGAGAACTAATCCTGTCCACTACCTCCATCATAGCTAATTAAACCAGTAGGTGACAGGTTATTAATGTTAGAATCTGCCATGTCTGTGGTACATATATATGTATGTATATATGTACATTTGCTCATAGATGTTGGCTGTGATAAGACACGATACATCTTAACAAATTGTAGAATCACATATGTTAGGATAGGAGAGAGTCTGTGTATACAGAACAAATTTTAATGTCTATTTACTTTTCTGTCCTGTCAGTTTTGGCAAGAGAACAGACCTGACTATGTCAACATCCAGCTGTACCTCAGTCAGACAGATGGGTTACAGGTATGTGATTGGATGTTATTGTAAATTAAACAAGCCTCTTGAGAATAGAAGATTTACTGTAGGGGCTGTGTGGAAGAAAATTTCTGCAGGTGGTTTGAAGAGACGTTTCCCAGAGGAAAGCCTGTTTTGGAATGTGTCCAGCAAACTCATGGCTTGTCCTTGAAGTCAACCGTATTCTCCCTTTCACAGGGAGCTGGAACAGAACTTTTAGTTCATCTCTCTTCTCTCCACAGTTGCCTCATCTAGAGATGAGGACATAAGCGAATAGTCTTGTGATTATGTTCATCGAGGGGAGGTTTTTTTTTTTTGGCAGTACGCGGGCCTCTCACTGTTGTGGCCTCTCCCGTTGCGGAGCACAGGCTCCGGACGCGCAGGCTCAGCGGCCGTGGCTCACGGGCCCAGCCACTCCGCAGCATGTGGGATCTTTCCGGACCGGGGCACGAACCCATGTCCCCCTGCATCGGCAGGCAGAGTCTCAACCACTGCGCCACCAGGGAAGCCCCGAGGGGAGGTTTTATGTGGCGAGAGAAGATGAGATCATACACAATTAAGCTTGTTTCTCTTCAAGGGAAACTAAATAAAGTAACAGTCATCACGCATTATTTACTTCACTATTAGACGCTGTGCTGAGCATTTCATATAGGTTATCTCATGTAATTCCAACATATTCAAGAGGTAAATGATTTTGCAATCCCCATATCATAGATGAAGAAACTGTTTACAAACAACATTGAAGAGCTGTATAGCCGTATAAACCTGAGCATGAATGCTTTCACAAGTTTTATTGTAGTATTTTCCATCATACATTTTCTATAATAGTTTGAATACAAAATATGAATGCTTGTCAGTTACTTTGAAACTAATCTAAGCCTAATTTTTTAGTCAGATTTCTACCCTACTTGGTATGTAAAAACATTTTATTTTATACTCCCATGAAGCAAGTCAATATCATTATTCCTCATGGTTTCGCTGTAATTAAGGTACAGAGCATATATTACATCTGGTTCTCAGTTTGTCTTCCTGGGACTCAGACACTTTCTCCTCTCTTCTCACTTCACTCTCTTTATCACCAATTCAGATCTAATAGTCTGTTAATTGCAAGCACCAGTACATTAGAAGTTGTTTCTTGACAGATCCCAAATTTGGAGCTCTTCTGTTTTAGGCTATCATGTCCAGGATCATTTCCCCAAATTTATGGTGACAATTTATAGTATTTTACTCATATAATGAGCCAAATATGATAACTTTGCAGTACAAAAACGCTTCAATAAAGCTTATGTGCTGCGCCTTTTTTGAGAGTAGGCAATTAGAATGCATTCTCTAATGCTGCAGTTACTTAAAAATGATGCAACTAACTGAAGTCTAGGAAAATCAGCCATTTGTAATAATGGCATTCAAGAAGGTAATGGATTTTAAAGGGA